CAAACTCAAGTTCAAGCGCATGTGTACGTTAACCCCCGACACCCCTCTCTTTTCTATCATTATTTCTCTAATAATTTCGTACGTGGTATGTAATATCTCTACCATAGAAGGAATTATTTTATAATTTCCACCCAAGCAATGCAATTATTATTATTATCTAATAATTTGTGAAGTAGCTGGTATGCTTTATTGTTTTTTTTTAATGAATAGCTGGGGGTGTTATTATTTGAACGGTTCAAATGCGCCATCACCATTACTGCTCCGTTATCCTAATCCTCGTTAGTCATTTGTGATAACATTTCTTGTCATGTCACCGATTTATTTAAATTTGGTAGCTGAATTAATTAAATTTTGAGTACATATATTTTTTTTTTTGCGGGGAAGAAGGTAAAACACTACAAGAAGCTCCATCGTCACGGGCTTCGCGCCTGCATATGCATGCCTGCTATAAAGAGAGAGCCAACAGTCACGAGAAACCTGCATGTCAACGGACAATTAACGGAAACCTACATTCATAATTATGGATTTTTACTCCTTACAGATCTGTATTATATCCATTAATACATTTTAGAGATTTGTGGAACAATAGTTTAAAGCCCTAATTTTTTTACTACAATTAATTTTTGTCTGCATTGATGCATTAGCCAAATTTGTAGGAATAAATTTTGAATCATATGAATTAGAATAATCTAACATTTAGTTAAAACACATACAAAGGTTTCAAATACGTTACAGACATATCGGCATTATGGCACCGACCATATATAGTTGCAAAATTTTCCCTCAATTAGCTAGGACTGGTCAATTAGTAAATATACACCAAATTATTTACAAAGTTTTTTTTTTTAATAACAACCATTTATACAGTTGGAGTAGCAAACTTCAAAATATCATGCATGGTTGGGAGCTACTAAATTTATAAGCTCCAGTTGCTAACAAGAAGTAAACAAACTTATTAGTTAATGCTACATGTTGTTGCAGGTGAAAAGTCGATGATAAGGAAGCGTTACATGCACGTGACGGAGGAGTATCTAAAAGAGAATCCAAACATGTGCGCCTACATGGCCCCTTCACTTGATGCTCGGCAAGACATTGTGGTAGTAGAAGTCCCCAAACTGGGCAAAGAAGCTGCCTCCAAGGCCATCAAAGAGTGGGGCCAGTCCAAATCCAAGATCACTCACCTCGTCTTCTGCACCACTTCCGGAGTCGACATGCCCGGAGCCGATTACCAACTCACCAAGCTCCTCGGACTCCGCCCCTCCGTCAAGCGATTCATGATGTACCAGCAAGGTTGCTTCGCTGGCGGCACTGTCCTTCGTCTCGCCAAGGACCTCGCTGAGAACAACAAGGGCGCCCGCGTCCTCGTCGTCTGCTCCGAGATTACTGCCGTCACCTTTCGTGGCCCCTCCGACTCCCACCTCGACTCCCTCGTCGGCCAAGCTCTCTTCGGCGATGGAGCGGGGGCGGTGATTATCGGAGCCGATCCGGACGAGAAGGTTGAGAGGCCTATGTTCGAGCTCGTGTCGGCTGCGCAGACCATACTGCCAGACTCGGAAGGGGCCATCGACGGTCACCTGAGGGAAGTAGGTTTGACTTTCCACTTGCTCAAGGATGTGCCCGGTTTGATTTCTAAGAACATCGAGAAATCGCTCGTGGAGGCGTTCAAACCCATTGGGATTAGTGACTGGAACTCGTTGTTCTGGATAGCGCATCCTGGTGGGCCTGCTATTTTGGACCAGGTGGAGGAAAAGCTCGGGCTAAAGCCCGAGAAGATGAGGGCTACTCGAGAGGTATTAAAGGAGTACGGCAACATGTCCAGTGCATGCGTGCTTTTCATATTGGACGAGATGAGGAAGAAGTCGGCGGAGGAAGGGAAGCTAACGTCCGGTGAAGGGCTGGAATGGGGAGTTCTTTTCGGGTTTGGACCAGGTCTCACCGTCGAGACCGTCGTGCTCCATTGCCTCCCTAACGCTGTTGCCGCTACAGCGTGATTTATAAGCCCAGGCCCTACCTAACAAGAAAGTGGGGGTAAAATAATAAAAATGGAATTATGGAAGGACATGGTTTTTTATATTCTAAAACTACTCGTTTCTCATGTTGAATCTTCTTAATTCCTTATGTTCAGTTGTTTTTGGTTTATTACGTGTTGTGTGTGAGTGTTCATTGTATTTGAAATTTCTGTTAAGTATGATTTAGTTACCGTCAATATACATATATACCAATCGACCATTTGATATGATCTATGTTCTGTTTATTTGTGGAATTTACACATGTAATACAAACTGTTAAACCTAAATTGGCTATGTTTTGTTTATTTGTGTAATAAACACATGTGGATGTAATACAAACAGTTTAACCTATATTGGCTATATATTAACAAAGTTATCATGTATGCGGTCGAGTAGCTAATAGCGTACACGAGTGGTGTAGCAAGGCTGAAATTATAGATTACGTTCAATCGGAAAATCATAGTATCTTGTCGTTTTAATTGGATTCGAATTGATAAGAGACGATTTTAATTGCGAGGATGGTGAGGCATTGATTAACTAACTGTTTTTACAGAAATCACAAAGCATGGGTTAGGCAATTAAGGACAACTTCCACCTATCATGGAATCAATAATTAGGAAGTCATTCGTCATGTGTTGACTTTAAATAATTGTATAATTCGTTCTTATCATTATTGAATGATAAAAGTACAAAAATTATGTGTATAGGTGCAACCTAACAAGATTTTGTTTGTTCATATACAAACATGTGGTCTTCACTAATAGCCCAAGTTTCAAAATCACATCCCAAAGTGTACAGATTTTGAAATAATTAATAACAAGCCACTATTTCTCCACCTTCTGTAGTGATGGCTCGTGAGTACAATCACAAGTAATTTATGTTGATTCGCAACATCACAGCTTAATTGAGAAGTGCGAGAAATCAAAGATTATGCTACCTTATCGAGGATAATATTCATAGTGAATGAGGGGCTAAGTGTATCATCCTACCAATTTTAAAGTTTGGTAAAAGATATCAAGCACATATGTTATAATATCATATCATATCATATTTTGTAGTCATGTAGAGTATATATAGTTCACATATGTTATAAGTATTGAAAAAGAGCAAAATATAGTGACAAAAGTTTTTTTTGTTAAGAGAGGAAACATCAAAGCATAAAAAAAGAAATATCACCACGAAAGTTATAAACTTTATAGTACATGGATTATTCAAAGAAAATGAATACTTCGAAATGTAGCTTAACCCATAAAAAATAACCGAAGGCGGAAACAAACACCCATTCACTATCATTTAGTCTGTCACATTACATATCAAGGCTTTGAAGTTGAAAGCTACAATATAAACTAAAAGTTTAGGCTTGGGCCGGAACAAAAGCCCATTGGCTATAGATCAACATGCATATCATGGGCTTGAATAATGGGGGAAAGAAACTGATGTGCTCTCGTGCCTACAGCAATTGAACCATATATTCTTGTCGTCACCATTGTAACATCCCGAACCTTTTCTCGACAAGATATTGTCCGCTTTGGGCCTCTACGACCGCACGGATTTGCCTTGGGGTGCAATTCAAGGTGACTTCCCGTAAGGTCACCCATCCTTGTTTTACTCCACACTGAGCACGTTTAACTTTAGAGTTCTCATAAAAACTCTTCCATTTCACCCCAAAACGCGTCTTGTCAGTTAAGGTCGGTTTCTTACTTATGAACCATGGATCTCTCCCGTGCTTTGTCGACGTGGCATTCGCCTAAGGTGTTACATACACACCCCTGAGGTTTGCCCCACCATCGTTCAAGAGGGACGCGGAGAGGCTCTGATACTACTTGTAACATCCCGAACCTTTTCCCGACAAGATACTGTCTACTTTGAGCCTCTACACCCGCATGGATTTGCCTTGGGGTGCAATTCAAGGTGACTTCTCATAAAGTCACCCATCCTTGTTGTACTCCACACTGAGCACGTTTACCTTCAGATTTCTCATAAGAACTCCTCCATTTCACCCCAAAACGCGTCTTTTTTTCAGTTAAGGTCGGTTTCTTACTTATGAACCATGGATCTCTCCCGTTCTTTGTCGATGTGGCATTCGCCTAAGGTGTTACATACACCCCCCCTTTGGGACTCAACGCCCTCGTTGAGGTTTTCCCCACCATCGTTCAAGAGGGACGCGGAGAGGCTCTGATACTACTTGTAACATCCCGAACCTTTTCCCGACAAGATACTGTCTGCTTTGAGCCTCTACACCCGCATGGATTTGCCTTGGGGTGCAATTCAAGGTGACTTCCCATAAGGTCACTCATCCTTGTTGTACTCCACACTAAGCACATTTAACTTCAGAGTTCTCATAAGAACTCCATTTCACCCCAAAACGAGTCTTTTTGTCAGTTAAGGTCGGTTTCTTACTTATGAACCATGGATCTCTCCCGTGCTTTGTCGATGTGGGATTCGCCTAAGGTGTTACAACCATCGACTCTGTGTTGTGCTTGTTATGACCATGATTCCCTTCGAAACGTGCACTTCACGGTAGCCACATCCTTTCCTCGTCCTCTAACCATCAATCACTATGATCCCCCTCCGCCCCTACTTTCCCCCTAGGTATGCATCTTTTTGGGTTTTAGCCACCTTATTGTCCTTCTGACTTCACCCACTAACTGATTGGCACAATGCGTGAACCAAAAAGCTAAACATATTTATTAACCATCTCCTTTCGTAGGAACCTCCATCGAAATGGTGTTGTTTGTCCGATAAGTCCACTCCTGGGTATACTTTTCACTGTCCATATTGATTCTTACAAAGCGTTATGGTCCAGAATCCACATCCCCAATCACCACACACTTAACAGATTTAACTTGAAGTGGATCATGACCACGCACACCATCTCCTCTTGACTCAAGTACTCACCCTAACGATATCATTGAGGCTCTCTACAATGCTAACCCCAATCCTCCTAATTATCCCATAGTAACTCAATTTATTAATGTAAGTTATTCTTATCCTCTTCTCATGTATTCTAGTTGAACAACTGTTTTGTTTCTCTGTATCTTAAGGCCTTTAAGGAGTTTTCGTGGTTTCATTGTAACGTGTATAATATTGGTTGATGGTTGGGAGAAAGAGGTTATCACAGTAGAGTCTCATTGTGGTGATGATAACTTTTAAGTACAATGGGCGACTGTTATGCCTGCATTAAGTGAGACAGCATTAACAAGTTGGTGGGATAAATGAACTTCATAGGCAGCATTTCTTCCGACCGGCACAGAGAACATAATAGGAAACCACATGCAGGATTTACAACTTTGGTATGGTTCTTTGTTGGAATTGATATCATGGAAGAAATCACTTGATCCATCACTCTTTGAGTATCAAAATGGCTTCACCAATTTGGTGTGGGCCAAGATGTTGATAAATGAGGGATGATCTTCTGAACTCTTCTCTGTCGGGCACTTGGAAACTGGGCCTAAGGAGACTTACAGAGGGAAGCTTCAGCAAGCAATATAGAGTGGCTTTCTGTGCGTCCATCTATGAAGCATGTTCTTGAGAAGCTGAAGCAATTGGAAATACTAAAAAAGCACCACAAGGGTCAATGTGGTAGTGGGAAGTGACTGGGTCTTTTTGTGTAACTTCCCATTTGAGTATTCCATGTCTTGAGGTAAGATAATCATTTTAAACCCAAGTTATTTTGACATTATATTTTGCATTTTTGTTAGGACAAAAAAATCTAAGGTGATAGAATTACTGTATTTAGATTCTCAAGATGGATTAAAGATTTTGCTTCATGCTTTTCCGTAACTTTTTAAAAAATTTGGTGTAGCTATTTTGGTTTGTCTAGAGGGATGGCATGACTTCAAATCATTTCCTGACATCATGATGTAATTAATTTGCTTTCAACAGGCATCCATCAGGGGAAGAGCGGGGGTTAATAGTCGAGAAGATTGGTGGTGGTGGTGGCATCAGTAGTAGAAGCAGCAACACCGCCTGTAGCCTTGAGAACCACCTCCTCGGTGGTTGTGCCTATGATATCATTAGCTTCCCTCAATCCCACGCACCTATACTTTCCATTGTCGTCCTGCATTTGCGTCCCACCTCTTTAAGTTCATTCAGTTAGAAGCAAAGGGAAAGACATTATGGAAAGAAAATGAGATAAGGCTCACGCCTAAAAGCTTGCCTTGGAGATGATTTTGAGTTTCTCAAGCTTCTGGAGAGCATCGTCAACATCAAAATTACAGTTCTCACCAAATTCTGCCTTGAGTAGATCCTCACACCTTCCATCCAGTTCCTATTTAGGATTCATCCCTAAAGTTAATTCAGTTTTAGAGTCCCTAAATAACAATGTAGAGTTGTATTACCTGTCGGGTGGCTTCACCCTGCTCTATCAGTATGAAGAAGGAAATGATCACCTCTTTCACCTGCAAATAAGACCATTCATTATTGTTAAAGATTTTCGAGCAATACTACTAAACAAGAAATATGGTTCGTAAGTAAATAGCAAGATCGACATACTTCTTGTTGGATGACCTCGTCGCACAAGTGAAGCAGAGTGCCCCTCCCACTATCTAGTTGTTTGTCATAGACCGACTGAGTAATTAGACTTTGATAAGACACCAAGTTGCTCTGGAACCTGCATTTTCATTTGCCAAATTGCATTGACATTTTGTCTGCCAAATACATAATCTCTAAACTTAATCTTATTCAAATGACTTCTTAGGCAATCCAAGATCTTAATTACTTACGTGAAATATGTTTTGACGCAATAGCCACCTACTGATGTGAGGATGGCGAAGATCACTCTAATGTCTACTTTCTTCACGCTCAAAGAACCAACCACTGTCGCCTATAGACAAGACATGTATCATGTGTCATTTGGCGCTTCCAAGTACCAAAAATGGATGGTAGAGATATGGATCGTGGTTAAAAGAAAACATGATAATAGATAATTACCAGACCAATGAGAGCAGATACAAGGAACTTCACCCAATCCATTGGGGTAAGCCCGGGATTTTTCTTTTCTGGCTATCAAATATCACCAGCAGAAGAATCATCAGCTGCAAGTTAGTTGATATTATTATGGATGGATGTGATGTGATTGATTTCTCTTTGAAGAACGAGTCTCAATCTCGGTTTTTTCACTCACCAGGACAATCTCCATATCAGCCATGGGAATACCCTTAAAATGCTTCACATACATATTCCTCTCTGTTTCCTTCTTGTCGCTGCTACTTTCTCTCCTGCATATCAATCATTACACATACATGCCTATGTACTTTCAATTGTTCTATCATCTTTCGAGTAAGTTAACAACGTTGAATAATTTTTTGTAGGTATGATACCTATAAACGACGATTATCCTATCAAATGTGGGCTCTTGAATGGTTACTTTCCCAAAAAGATTAGAGAAGCTGGAAAGACAAGCGGTTGGATGAAGAGATATTTCAAGAAACAGAAGAAGAAATCATATTAATGTTGCAGCTAGCTAGCTAGCTAGGTATGATGTATGTTCATACCTGAGTGGCATTTTCTCAATGCGTATTCTTTCAACAAAAAGATCGTCTTCATCATCATCTTCATCCACCATGTCATCAATGTTAACTCCAATGGTTGTTGGATCCTCCTGCCGCGACAATCCATCACCATCTATAGGTTGTTGTGGTCTCCGTCTCTTTTTCTTCTTCCTAAACAACAACCATTTCAACCCTGTAATGGTGAGGATGAGCATCCACAACCGCATGATGATGGTGTTGATCTTGTGTTTGATGAAGTAAGCAGTCATTTGATCAATGCCAAACCCTCTCCTGAATATGATGTACTTGTCGGCAAAGTGAGGCAGGTTGTCCTTGGGATGCTTGGAAAAGTACTTGGTGAATAGTTTCTTATCCAGCTGATTCAAAGAAATGACTTTATATCAAGCAATTGACTAAAGTGGAATTTCACATACATACGTACCTTGGATTCATCAACAACAATGGGGAGATTGAGGCGGTATTGGGCAGCAAGAGCTACGTCAATCTCACCGTCAGTGGTGATCTTGAAGTTACTGCGTTCCATGACTTGAAAGAGGCAGTTGAGGAAATGGCGCTCGCAGATGTCGACGTCCTCGGGGGTTAGGTTGTGCTGCTCTATCTTACGGTCACCGTGGATGGGCTCGAAGAGGGCATAAAGCTGCATCATCTCCTCAAAGTGGAGGAGGTACCACGCCCTGATCATGTACTCTGCTCTCTGACACAACTTAACAAACTCATCCTTCTCATTCCTCCCTTCTGCTTTCATTCATTGTATCCCATTTGGTATTTTAAATTTGAAACAAAATGTAAATATTTATATATTCACACAAAGGAAAGAAGAAAGAGGAGATATTACCAATACGGTTGGTCAAGGCACTAATGATCTTGCGCTTCACAATGGGAATCACAGATTCCCTCTCCAAACGTATTATGTCCTTTTTCTTCTTCTTCCCCATAGATCTCTGATATGATCATATGCCTCCTCGATCTCACTTCATGCATGTATGTAAATGCAGTTTACTTTTTGCCCAGATTTATTCATTAATTCGTTCATTCATCATCCAAAAAAAGAGGATAATTAAACAACCTTCACCAACGGAAAGAACAACCAACCAGAAGATCAATCAATGCTACTGCAATCAAACTATTTTATCCTTCTCGTAAAAAAAAACCCAACTATATTATCTTCCATGCAACTAAATCGGATACTGTGTGCGTTCACCATTCCTTCTCTCAACACACCACTCCACGCAATCATTTCTCAATACTACATCGTATCTTCTTCTTTAACTAGTTTAGGGCCAAGTTCTTACTCCACCCTCTACTTATGCTAAAATTAACATCACGAACCAAAAAAGTCAAGATATAGGGTTTTTTTTATAAGGGTGATATAGGTTGAGTTTTTGTTGTTAGGTACTACTTAAGCGATTCGAACCTGAGACCTCCAAGTTCAAAGCTAGTGGTATTAACACTAGATCAAGCCCTTGTTCGTCAAGATATATGGATCATTTGGAACATCTAATTCCGAAAACAATGTATCCCTAGAATATTACGATTATGTATATGATAGGAATGTGTTTCTTCTAAGAATGCATTCTCTAGAGTCTATATAGTAGGACTAAAAGACAAAAATATGTTATAGCTTAAAAGACACATATATCCTTATATACCAACAAATAAACATGTTTTAGGTTTTCTTTCACTACCTTCTGACTTTTGATTTGTGCCGAGTTTTTGCTACTAATTTTACTTATGAAACAATCTTCCCTATACAACTTTATGGTTTTTTTTTTCTTCTAATGGTTGTCCTCTTTTATTCACAACAAAAAAGAAACCATCAAAGACAAATGTCAAACTACAGGAAATAAATAACAGGAGGGAACATAAAGTTACAGCTAACTAGAGCATAAATACAATACTGAGACATAATAGTCTCTTAGGAAAAGTTAACCTAGCAACTACATTGCCACCACATAAAGACATATTAGAGTTGTATATTTCTCCAAATCATGACGAATGAATTGTCGAATCTTAACAACCATGATACAAGCCAGTTCATGAAAAGATGAAGAACCCATAGCTATTCAGCCACGTTTGTAAGTTCAAAGAATAACATAGCAACATCATAGAGGTTGATATCACTTGGTCGAGAGTAAAGTCTTTCATCTTTTTTAAAATTAGACCTCTTGGTCCTTCAATTCTTATTTCCTCTCCCTGTCAAATTAGACCTACAAGATGGAAGTAAATTAGAAAGAATATTATCAGAATATATATATATATATATATATATATATATATATATATATATATATATGTGGGGAGTTCTATGGTACCCAGGGTGAAATCCGGGGTACCACATACCTTGAGTATGAAAACGCTATCCAGACCTTGAATTGACTGATTTTTCGGACATGACACTATACTCTAACCCTTAAAGATCAAAATCTAGGTCTTAATTCTCTAAATCTTATACCCCAAGATCAATTTAATTAGAAACAATAATCGACGGTTGTGATTCGTCCAAATATAGGAAAAAAATGAATGAACCATCTTAGGGTTTATAGTTTATGATTTAGATAATTAGGACCTAGGGTTCACTCATTAAGGGTTAGGGTATAGTATCATGCCCAAACATCCTGCTAATTCGAGGTCTGGATAGAGTTTTCATACTCAAGGTATGCGGTACCCCAGGTTTCACCCGGGGTACCGTAGAAGGCACTATATATATATATATATATGGGGAGTTCTACGGTACCCAGGGTGAAATCCGGGGTACCGCATACCTTGAGTAAGAAAACACTATCCAAAATTTGAATTGACTGATCTTTCGGACATGATACTATGCTCTAACCCTAAAAGATCAACATCTAGGTCTTAATTCTTTAAATCTTATACCCCAAGATCAATTTAATTAGAAACAATAATCGACGGTTATGATTCGTCCAAATATAGGCAAAAAATCAATGCACCATATTAGGGTTTATAGTTTATGATTTAGATAATTAGGACCTAGGGTTCACTCATTAACGGTTAGGGTATAGTATCATGCCCAAAAAACCTGCTAATTCGAGGTCTAGATAGCGTTTTCATACTCAAGGTATGCGGTACCCCAGATTTCACCCGGGGTACCGTAGAAGGAACCATCATGCCGGTTTTCTCATTGTTGGTGCCAATGTGCCATGACCTCATTATGGCTTCGCCATGTGATCTTTAAACCCAGGAGCCAGGTTACTACTACCATTACTACTATTGTAACTAAATTATTATCCCCATTGACATTATTAGGGTTTTGTCCAAAAAAAAAAGACATTATTAGGGAAAAAATTACAAGCTCATCATTTAACCTAAACCCAATGGATAAAAAAAAACCTAAACCCAAACGAGGCAGTGATATCCAGTCCAGAATATTATTTCCGAAATCCAATCGACATGATTAAAACGCTCATGCCCATAACACGGCCCAAAAAGAAAGAAGATCGGACGGCCATAAGGACCATGATGCAAGTTTAGTAAGGTTCCAGTATCTAATTGTAACTAACCCCACCGGAAGCCAACTTGACAGAAAATCCAATCCAGAGCCAATCAATCGAAACTCGGAACCCGGAGGAATGGAAACGGCAATGGCGATGCCGGCAGCAGCAGCTAGCGGTACTGCGACTGCCACGGCGACCAAGCTGAATCTGTCTTCTCCACTCTCCCTCCAACACTATTCCTTCACACAGATTCGCCATAGCCACCAACGCCAATGGCCATCCACCAGAATAACCACGAGAACAAGACTACAGGTGCGCTCCTCTCTTCAGGAACTTCCGGTCCTAATTTCGTCGCCGCCGACACCGGACCTTACTTCCGCCTACTTGCTGGCGGAAGGCGCTACCTACTCCTTGGCTAGCTACTATACTTCCCTCGGTCTATTCGTCATCTCTCTTCCTGGTCTCTGGTCGCTCATCAAGCGCTCTGTTAAATCCAAGGTAGGCTGGAGCTGATTATCGCTTCCCCTTCAGTAATTTCCATAGATAGCAAAATATCTTATACAAGTGTGGTTGTCTTGCTTTGCCTTCATTTTCCAGGTTGTGCAGAAGACATTTATACGGCAAGAAGAAGGCCAGAACAAAGCTCCACCCAACCAAGTCGCCGGAGAGATATTATCCTTCTTCACTCGCAACAATTTTGCAGTGGCCGATAGAGGAGAGACAATCACGTACTTCTCTAAACTAGCCAGCCCCCTCCTGCAACTTGCTGCAGCTGGAACTATTTCAGTTCGCATCATACTTTTGCTCTAATACCGGTTCTGGCTTCTCAGGTTCGAAGGCATGATGGTTCCCAGCAGAGGGCAAGCTGCATTACTCACGTTCTGCACTAGCATTAGCCTAGCCAGCGTCGCCTTGGTCCTCACCATCACTTATCCCGACATCGGCAACAACTGGTTCTATATCACCATCTTCAGTCCTCTGGCGTAAGTTAGGAGCCAAGAGTTCAGTCATCTTATCAATTGTACCATACGAATGCCACTGAAGATCCCCAATTGTATTTTGCTGAGCGCAGGGGAGCATACTACTGGAGCAAAGCATCTAGGAAGGAGCAGATCAAGGTTAAGATGATAGTTGCAGAAGATGGCACCTTGCAAGAGGTTGTTGTTCAAGGAGATGATCAGCAGGTTGAGCAGATGAGGAAGGAACTGCAGCTGAATGAGAAAGGCATGATCTACGTAAAGGGCATCTTTGAGAAATGACCATCCTTAGTATTATTCACCTGTAATCATCACATTCATTAAGCAAAGCAACTCTCGCAAGTATCTATTTCCACAGAATTCAATCTCAGTGGTGAATATGATTATTGATCAGCAATTCGAGGTGCATTTGAACAAGATTATACAGGTTCCAAAAGAAAAGAAAATTTATTCAGAAGCAGAAAAGATAAACACTTGCAGAGTCCAGGCTAGAAATACACCTGTGGACATTCCGGAAATGGAAACGTTCAATCAATAATAAAAAAAAGCAATGTCTGCCATGAACTCTTCGGCATTATCTAGACCAAAATTCGATGAAAGTAACACGAATAACTTGAGGATCAAGTGTGTAGCCTCGAGAAACACACTCGAGAGAACTCAGCCAATCAGCAACTTATTCTCTTCCAAAAAGGAATAGGTAGGCACCTCCAAGTTGTAAGGTGCTGGGCCCTTCCGAATCCTACCAGAGATGTCGTAGTGAGATCCATGGCATGGGCAAAACCATCCCCCAAAATCACCAGCATTGGGCAAAGGGATGCAGCCCAAATGCGTGCACACCCCAATAACAATCAGCCATTCTGGGTTCTTCACCCTGGCCTCATCTGGCTGTGGGTCTCGGAGAGATGCCAGCTCGACACTGTTTGCCAGTTTGATGTCGTCTTCCGTTCGCCTCCTAATGAAAACTGGCTTCCCGCGCCACTTCACAGTCACAGTGGTCCCTGGTTCGATGCTGGAGAGGTCAACCTCAAGAGAGGCAAGGGCCAGAACATCCTTACTGGCCGACATACTGAGGACGAATTTGAGGATGAGGAGACGGATGAGGGAAGCATACACAAATCGACCGCCAGAGAGGACAAAGTAAGCGAAAGCTCGTTTGCTAGGGTCACCAGGTGGCAGGCGCTCGTGGTTGTACTCATCATAGACTATCTTAGGTGAGGGATTCTTGAGAGCATGCACAGTTGCTAAGGTGCCAGGAGCAATGCCTTCCTCGTCTACTGAGGCAAGTGATCCAGAAGCAAAACCTGACATGAACAACAGCAAATTGTTCTCTTACCGTTACACCAGAACAATATACTGCAGGAAGATACAATACCCAGAACTTGATTTATATTTTACACAACAAATGGAAGAATAAAGAAGTTCTTATAACAAATCAAGTGCAAGAGGCAATTGGAACGATACAAGCTTTATCATATTCACCATAAATCCAGATTATTCGCATACTAATTCCGAGACATTCAAGTCTTAACAAGAATCCATCACATCATAACATGACCACTACGGTATAATTTCTGCTCAAACTTGAGGGATAACAAGTACGACTTCCATTTACTCACATCCCGTTTCCATAAAGGATAAAGAGATATTGTTCACTAGTCAAATTTTATAGGAGAGGCAAATTCATTAACCCTAAAATTAAAATTAAAAGCGAAATGAATCACCCCATGGGCAACTAAAACCAAACGAGAGAAAGGATGAATCCAAAATCATCAAGCTCACAAAACCACCAATATCAAACATCAGATGCCATCATCTAAAACGAATCCGTAGGGGATCCAAGCGAAGCTTCGCGCATCAAGATTAGAAGGAACAAAGATTCAGAAAAGGAGACGAGCGAGAAAAGAGAAAGGAGGAAATACTAACCTCTGTGAGGGACATGGAAGGGGAAGTAAAAGCTGAAGAAACGGTCGGCCTTGACCTCGTCGGCGGAAGGCGACGAATCCGCAGAAACCCGGTTAATGGGATTCTGCGTCCCGATCGCAGAGAGAGCATGGTTGGGCCTCAACGACGGGGAGGAGAGAGATGTAAGACGCCGTAATCCAACCCTCAACATCGTCTTCTTCTCTCCTTCGCTATTCGATAGTTACCTTCTTGTTTACACCCAAAAATCCGGAAAACACTTCTTCGCCGGAGGGGGCCGCTAATCTCGATGAGGATTTCGATTGAATTGAATTGCTCTTCCTGCTTTTTGGCCTACAGCTCTTCGCTCTGTAAAAGCTTTCGGGAATTTCTTTTGTTTTGACGAGCGTGGGATCGTGGGCTCTGGATTTTGCAGCGTCATCGAGGACTCTAGGCCTCCCATTTCAGCGGCCTAAGGCACCCACGCAATGAAGCCCATTTTTAGTGATGTTTTCAAAGGCCCACACATCCAAAAGTCATTCACCACGTTAAACCTTAGCACTTTGGCACTGATTTTTTTTTGAAGAAAACATTCATTCATTCATTCCCTTAGAGATTGGTACAATTACAGGAAAGCAGAGATGATATTAAGGACAACAAGCCAGTCCTGGTGGAGGGTGTTTAATCTAGCATTTCGGGCAATCCAGTCTGCTTCTTTGTTGTTCCGTCGGCAAGTGAAGGCAATGTTGATCCAATTGGACACCTGGATAATACGTTGAATGGAGGAGAGGATAGCGTAGCAATTCCAGGGCCACAAATCCGAGTGGTTCTTCAGAGCATCCACTAGAGCTTTACAATCTGAAAATATAGTTGATGGGACATGCTCTCTCATCGCCAACTTGCATGCTTCCAACAAAGCATAGGCTTCAGTCTCTATAGGGGATGAACAAACAACCCGTCCAGCCTTACCATCCACAAACTGTCCATGAGGGTTAGTAATAACCACCCCATAAGCCGCCTCTCTTGAAATAGGATCGAAAGAACCATCACAATAAATCCTTCTCGTGAGTGTTGTTGGCGGTGGACACGGTTGTTGATGATCGTCCCTAGGCTGTGAAACGGGAGACGAGGAAGTGATCATCGTCTGAGGCTCAGCTGCCTCTCGAAAAGCTTGAAAGGAGGAGGACATCGGGGACACTGTCTCACTCCGAAAGATGAAGTTATTTCGGGCCTTCCAAATATTCCAAAGACAGAAAACCTTTCTCCTTGTGATCGCAAGATCTGGTTCCTCTCGCAGGCCACAGATCCAATTAGCCAAGTTAGGAGGAGGGGAAGTAGATGGAGAGACGATTTCCCAAGTCGCCGCTGCATGGGGGCAAACAAAGAGGCAATGGATAGCCGATTCAACCTGAGCTCCGCAAATCTGGCATTTCTTATCGGGGGAGCATCTCCGGTTATGCAGCTTTTCTTTGGTAGCAAGCGCTCCTCGAATGCACCTCCAAAGGAAAAAGCGGATCTTTGGGGGTAAATTGATCGCCCAAAGCCATTTCCACACCTCGTCACTTGTCGGTATATTGAGGTCCACTAGAGCTGGGTCGGCCTCTCGCAAATGTGCACGAAGACCATGATATGCTGTTCTTACTGAGAAGGCACCATTGGAAGTAGGCCGCCATGCCCATTTATCATTCGTATTGAGAGGGCCAATAGGAACTCGAGAAATAGCATCAACTTCCTGGGGAGAGCACTGTTGTTGGATTAGGTCCAAGTTCCATCGTCGCTCCTCAACATTAATCCAATCACTGACTCTAAGAGAAGGGTCAACAGCAGTAGAAAGGCAGTGGTCATCCAGGTTTGGAATCCAAGGATCCCTATTAATCCACGTTCCGTCTCCATCTCCAATCACCCGAATTAAGCCGATGTCGAGGGCTTGACGTGCATCACAAAGACTTGCCCAAATCCATGACGGAGAGCTCCCTTTCCTCGCCGAGCGGAAATCGCCATTGTTGAAATACAATCCTCGAAGTAGACGTGCCCACAGAGATTCTGGCTCATTCAACAACCTCCATCCTTGCTTAGCAATAAGAGCTAAATTGAAGATATGGAAATTGCGAAATCCCAGGCCACCATCTGCTTTAGGATCGCAAAGGATTTGGCCCTTACACCAATGGAGGCCCTTCTTATGCATCTTCCCAGACCAAAAGAAATTACGCACCAGAGAGTCCATCTTCCTAGTCAGACACAATGGTAGCAGGAAGACACTCATAATGAAGGTGGGGATTGCTTGTATGACTGACTTGAGCAGAGTCTCCTTCCCCCCCTGAGACAACAACAAGCTCTTCCAAGATTCTCCTCTCTTCTCCATTCGACTGATGAGGAAGCTGAAAGTCTCTTTCTTGGACCGTCCCCACTCCGTCGGAACCCCTAAATATTTGTCATGAGTAATAGTCGGCGGAAATCCAATATGGGCAGCGATCTGGGTTCTCAAAGAATCCGGAGTGTTCTTGCTGACAAAGACCGAGGACTTCTCCAAGTTCACCTCTTGCCCGGTAATATGACTGTATCCATTGATTATGCTCATAATCTTAGCTGCCTCCTCCACTGAAGCCTCCCCAAAGATGACTGTATCGTCGGCAAATAAGCAATGGGAAAGCCTTGGGCAGCTCGGCTTTAGTTTCAGGCCATGAATCGCTCCCTGCGAAGTTTCTTTATCCAACAAAAAAGACAAAGCATTAGCCATAAGGATGAAGAGAAAGGGGGAGATAGGATCACCTTGGCGGATACCCCTCGAGGGTGTGAAGAACTCCGTTGGACCTCCATTTATGAGGATGGAAAACCTCACAGTTCTGACACATTCCATAATCCATTCACACCATGTTTGATTAAAGCCATACGCTTGAAGGAGGGAAGTGAGGCACTCCCAGTCCACCAAGTCATAAGCCTTCCGCATATCCATTTTCAGCATCATGTCGTACTTTCTACCCTGGCGGCGATTTTTGAGATGGTGCAAGACCTCATGAACAATGATGATGTTATCCTGAATCACTCGACCTCCAGTAAATGCAGCCTGCATTTCTGAAACAAGCTCCGGTAAAAATGGTTTCAGCCTGCTTGCCATGATCTTGGAAATCACCTTATACTTGAAATTGCAGCAACTTATCGGCCGAAATTGGCTAATCATCTCTGGAGATGAGATTTTTGGAATAAGAGCGATATGAGTATCATTCCAACCCGATGGGAGAGAGGACTCCATGAAGAAAGATTTGACCTCTTCACAAAAATTTTCCTCAATTGATCCCCAATAGTTCCTATAGAATTGTCCTGAAAAACCGTCTGGACCTGGTGATTTGTGAGGTCCAAGGGAGAACACAGCTTGTTTAATCTCCCCATTTGTAACCGGTCTGCACAAGATATCATTCATTTCCTGAGAAACAAGTTGTGGGAAGCCTTGCAGGAGGTGTCCATCAAAATCCATGCCTCTGCCAGTGAATAGATTTTGATAGAAACCCTTAATGTGGTTAGCAAGGTCAAGTGGTCGCTTGATCCATGTACCCCTTTCATTCTTCAACCCCACAATCCGGTTAAAATGTCGACGCAAAACAGTGGTAGAGTGAAAGAATTTAGTGTTCCGATCCCCTTCTGCAAGCCACTGAATCCTGGACCTCTGCCTCCACATTTTCTCTTCATCCCTCCAAAGAGAGTCCAGTTCCTCCAATAAGATCCTCTCCTCTTCTTCTGTTTCTTCAGTTCTAATCAGATTCTCTAGGGCCTCCAACCTGTCTTTGATTTCTGTTTCACGTTTTTGTTGATCCTGAATCATCCTTCTTGCCCAGTCTTTGAGCTCACCAGCACATCTCTTCTGTCTTTGTTCTATGTTTCCCTCCGCAGCCCAAGCTGCAAGAACAATGGCGTCACATTCATCCTTACCGATCCAGCGAGAGTCAAACCGAAAGGGTGGCTTATTCCAATTTCCTCGTGAGTGTAATTCAATCCTCACAGCTCTATGGTCCGAGCCAATGTAACTCTCATGATAGATGGTAGCTTCCCCAAAGTTTTCTCTCCATTCAGGAGTACATAGTGCTTTGTCCAGCCTCCCTTTGATATTCCGATCACCTCTTCTTCTATTAGACCAAGTAAACTGAGGACCTTTGAATCCCATGTCTATGAGTCCATTGTCGAAGATGAAAGATTTGAATGGTTCAACTGATTCGCGTCGCAAAGGGCCGCCACCACTCTTCTCATAGTCATAAATCATTGCATTCATATCGCCTAACACAACCCATGGTACATTAGGAACATTACGAAATCTGGAAATCCTACCCCAAAACGCTCTCCTCTCATTAGCAACTGAGGGAGCGTGGATAAAGGTCATGAAAAACCCACACCCATAATTAACAAAAACATCAATAAAATGTCGTCCTCTGTCCAAAACTTGAAGAGGGAAATCAGCTGCCCACCATAGAGCCAAACCACCAGCTGTCCTCTCCGGATTGACATAGCAACTTTCAGGAAACTTGTTGCGTAGTTGCAGTTGCTTCACGGTATCTTCGTTGTTTTTTGTTTCCATCAGAAACACAAAAGAGGGCTTAAACTTCTTAATCATCTTCTCTAGCTGCATCTCTGTCCGAGGGGGCCCAATCCCCCGGCAGTTCCAACATAAGCCGCTCATGGTTCCTGTGGTGGCTTATAGTTGGCCACCTGCACTTCAGAAATTTTCTTTTCCTCATCCCACTCTTGCTGCTTCTCGGGCTGTGATTCTTTCTCCATCTTCCCAGTTGGTTTTGTCTTGCTTTTCCTAATTATAGCTCTGCTCTTGGGGCTTTGCGTTGGTGCCGAGCTTCCCCCATGGGAGAAGTAGGGGCCTTCGAAATCCAGTTCCTTCCCTTGCTTCCTTTTCTTTTTCTGTGGTGAGCAGGGGTGCTCCATTGTCTTCAAACCTGTTTCTCCCAATTGCACAATAACCTGGTTAATGTCCACCTCCTTTGAACTGTTGTTGGCTTCAGAAACAATTTTGTTGGAAATGGGCCTATGGGAGTGAGACGGGCCGCCCTCCTGGTTCTGTTGTAGAAAAAAGGAACTGTTTCCACCTTCATTAAGGCCCACATGTGGCTGAGTCAAGCCCATGTAAGGAAGAAACTGATTGGTCATGTGGGCTTGACCACTTTGGCCCATCATCTGTGCAGTAAGCTCTTGGGATGATGGAAGAAACCTAGCCGCCTCCTCCATCTGCTCCGACAAGTTGCGGGGAACATCCCTGTATATTCTGCGATCATTCATGGGATGTGTGGCAGCTGCACTTGGGGGACCATATAAGACTAGGTTCTGGGGGGGATAGGATGTTGGAGTATGGTACAGTGGTGTCAGAGTTTGGGCACTCCCTCTTGGATCCGTTGGGAACGGATGTGGCGTATATCCCGGGGGACCTTGGAATCCGAGCCATGCTTCGTTTGACCGTTGGGGGGAT